AGGCGGATTTTGTAGACGGCGAGCCGGGCGTCGCTCTGCAGGTGCAGCGACTCTCCCAGGTCGACCTCAAAGTCGCTGTCCGAGCCGGCCACCCTCTTGCGGCTGTCCACGTAGATCGTCGTCATCCTTTTCTTTAGGAAACCGCCCGTCCGGCGGACGACGGGCGGCTGGACGGCTGCGACGGAGGTGCAGCAGGAGATGTTTTCACACTTCGCGTTGATCAGCGTGGAGCTGGCGAACAGCTTCTGGCCCAGGAAGCTGAGCGCCGCTCCCATCGGCGTCTTTTTCAAGTGCAAAACGCTCTTCAAAGCGCTTGTAGAACATTTCATTCCTCGGCTTCAGGTAGTAGACAAAGAGGAAGCTGTAAGGTTCCCGCGTCGCCTGCTCGTACAACTGGTAGAGCTGCTCCTTCGGCAGCAGGGCGCTCAGCTCCTCAATAACGGCGTCCAGCTCGTGCTGGTTGCGCAGCCTCCAGCAGCAGAGGAATTGCATGTTCACCCGCAACGCTGCGCTGATGAGCCGCAGCTTCTGCGAGCTCACCCAGGTGCTTATCTGCATGTGCCGGCCCCTGATGAAGAGAGTGTCCAGGGCGCCGTGAGGCTTGTGCAACTGCGGCGTGTCAGCAAAGTCGTCGATGACTACAAGCACCTGGTACAGTTTCTTCATTTCCAACTCCTTGGACGCCTCCGTGATCTTGCGCTGCTGCTGGATGATGCGCCGCAGCGCCGCCTCGTCCCACTCGTCCCAATACGTCTGCTCCCGCTCTGTGTTCACCCCCAGGTCCTCCTCAATGGACTTCTTGACGGGTATCCAGCCGTCGTCTATGTTCACACTCGGGCTGAAGACGTAAATTCTCTCAAAGACGCCGCGATACTGCTCCAGAATCAGGCTGATCAGAGCCACGGTTTTGCCCGATTTTGATGGCCCGAGGAAGATGCCCGTGCACGGCACCAGTGGCACCACGGGGTCAGAGGCTTGTTTGCTGCTATACTCTGTCGTAGGAAACAGCTTGATCTTCCCCATTTCCTTTGCGTTACTTGCCAAATTTGAAGCCGGGAAGGGCGGCGAGTCTGTCAGCGCACTGCTACACAGCAGGACGCTGGCGGAGTTTTGCGGGCAATCCGGGCGGCGAGTCCGGGAGTACGTCGCTGTGTACCGACGCGCTGACGGAGTTTTCCGGGATAAAACCAAAGGGCTGGTATGCAGCTGAAGTACGTTGGAAGTAAGGCGTGGTTAGCTCCTCACATGGACCGGCTGCTGGGGGACGTCGCCGTGCTTCACTCTCCCTTCTTCGGTTCTGGAAAGCTGGAGTACTACATCGCCGCCCGGCGCCCGGGCCTGGAGGTGCGCGGCGTCGACGCCTTCGAGCCCGTCGCAAACCTGCACCGCTGCTACTTGAGGCGAGACCCGGTCTTCCTGCGCTCCTTGCTGCGCCTGGTGGGGCGCAGGGTGGACAGGCGCTTCTACTCCGGGCACCTCCTGCCGGGCGCGCTGAGAGGCCGTGCCGGGCGCCGGGCCGCCTGCGCGTACGTCCTGCTGCGCAACAGCTTCTCGGGAAGTGGGGCTCCTTCGCACAGCAGCGGCCGCTGGCACTGAGCAGCGTGCGGCGTCTGCAGCCACCCTGCAACGTGACCGTGCGGCACCAGGACGCGCTGGCCTATCTACGCGCTCTGCCTTGCCTGGCGCACCAGTGCATCTACGCTGACCCTCCTTACATTTTCCCCGGCCGCAGCATGAACTACTACGGTACGAGAGGGGGCCACGACCTGGTCTTTCACACGGAGCTGCGAGACGCACTCTTCGCGAGCGGCCTGCCCTTCATCGTCAGCGTCAACGACGTGCCGGAGGCCAGGGAGCTCTACAGCCGGGCCGACTCCATCACGAGCCTGCGCTCGGGGAAGAACAGTTCCAAGCCCGAGCTGCTCGTGATGCACCGGGGCATTCCTGTTGTCAGCGCAGGTTTGGGGGAAGCAATCCTGTTGCCACAGCAGGATTGAAGGGGCAATCCTGTTGCCACAGCAGGATTGGGTGGAGCAATCCTGTTGCCACAGCAGGATTGGGTGGAGCAATCCTGTTGCCACGCCAGCGGATGACGGCAGGGCGTTTGTGACGTGGTGAAAAAAAAAAACACTTTCCTAGGGAGCGATACTGCGAGGACAGCATCGCTGACGGACCTTCGGCGCTGGCCCGGTGATGGGGTTTTCGGGATGAAACCCAACTCCGGAAGCGATGCACTCCCCATCGCATCGCTTCCGCAGGATTTTTCGGGCAATATCGGAAGCTAAAGCGAAGTCGGAAAACCGACCTCGGTGTAGAGCGAAGTCGGAATCCCGACCTCGGTGGAAGAATCCCGACCTTGGCGCGGGCTCGGCAGGGCTCCGGATGCCGGGCAGGCGCGGCCGGTGGCGCGCTAGGTGTGGAGCCGTTGGGCGAGCCATCAAACGAGGTTGGGCGAGCCAGTACTAAGGGGCCGTTGGGCGAGCCACTCAACCACTTTCACAGTGGCCTCCACAGTGGCCAACGCCTGCGCCTGCTTGGCGCTCCTACGGTGCCCGCTCGGCACCAGGTGCCCGCTCGGCACTGTGCCTGCTCGGCACGTTTAGTTAAGTGCCAGCTCGGCGCGTGCCCGCTCGGCACTGTAAGTGCCCGCTCGGCACTGCGCCTGCTCGGCACGTTTACCTAGGTGCCCGCTCGGCACATTTAGTTAGGTGCCCGCTCGGCACCGCCCTGCCTCCCACCGCCAAGTTCTCCAGGATGAACCTACGTACGGCAGCCTTACAGGAAAAAAACAGGGGGGCACTTTGGGGTTGAACCACATGCACATGACATGCAAAACCGTGCGAAAAAACGTGCAAGCTGTTCCACGTGTCATGCAAAAAACAAGCTGTTCCACGTGTCATGCAAAAAAACAAGCTGTTCCACATGTCATGCAAAAACAAGCTGTTCCACATGTCATGCAAAAACCATGCAAAAACCATGCAAAAAACAAGCTGTTCCACATGTTGCAAAAAAACAAGCTGTTCCACATGCAAAAACCATGCAAAAACCATGCAAAAACCATGCAAAATGCGGCGCGTACGGAGCGCCAACCCGCCGAACCCTCACTCTCCCCGGGTTCCTTGCTATACGTGCTATATGTGCTATATCTCACAAGGCAAGCCACTGAACATCCACTCTCCCCGGGTTCCTTGCTATATGTGCTATATGTGCTATATCTCACAAGGCAAGCCACTGAACATCCACTCTCCCCGGGTTCCTTGCTATATGTGCTATATGTGCTATATGGCCCTATATAGCACATATACTACAGATTTTCGCGCGTACAGAATAATATAGCACATATAGTACATATAGCAAGGAGCTGGGGGAGAGTGGGGGTTCAGCGGCTTGGCGTGTAAGATATAGCACATATAGCACATATAGCAATATTAGCTAAGGAGCCCGGAGGATGTGGGGTTTTCAGCGGCTTGGCGCGGCAGGGTGGCGCACCCGGAGTGCTAAGAACATTTTCATCCGACATGTAGTCCGACCTGTTGAAGCAATTAAGCGGCCTCTCTCTGTAGAGGGGGTTTTCCAAATGGCTTATATTGTACCTGAGAGGCTTCTAACACTCGTCCGTCCAGCATTTGACCTCGTCCTGCGAAGGATTCGAAGTCTAAAACGCTGCGTGCAGGCGTGTGGCTGCAAAATAGAGACCCCTAGATATGCGCTGCAATTTGGCTCCAGGTTGCATTTCAAGCGATGCAAGCTTTGCCAAAGGAAACCCCTTTTCCCTTTTTTTCGGGGACCCCTTTTTTTTGGACCCCTTGTTTTCTTTTTTTTTGTTTTTTCTTAGCCCTGCAAAGTTTGGCTCGCTTGAAATGCAACCTGGAGCCAAATTGCAAGCATATCTAGGGGTCTCTATTTTGCAGCCTCATGCCTCCACGCAGCGTTTTAGACTTCGAATCCTTCGCAGGACGAGGTCAAATGCTGGACGGACGAGTGCTAGGAGCCTCTCAGGTAGAATATAAACCATTTGGGAAACCCCCTCTAAAGAGAGAGGAGCTAGACCAGCCTCGGGCCTTTGGATCTTGCTGCCGTCCAGTTTGCACTTCACTCCCTGGGACTCCTTGAGGCAGCTCTGCCACCTGTCCTTCACATCGCCGTAGTCGCCCCAGACCAGGCCTCGGAATCCCTTTCCATCGCAAGGCAGGCGTTCTGCTTGGGTCCTTGGTCCTCGCCGAGGGCCCCCAGAGGACGTGAGCCACGCGGACTGCCAGACGATGGCGCCCTTGGGGCTCGTCTGCACCTCGCGCAGGGCGACGCTAGTGGCGGTAGTCATCTTGACTTTTGCTTGCCGGTCCTTTTCCAAAAGGGCGGACAACAAAATGGTCCGACCAAAGGGACGGCCCTGGCTCAAGCGGCTCGAGGGCCGCCATTTCCGGAAAAAACACGTTTTTGTCTGTTTTTCCGTAAATTCAGTTTTGCATGGTTTTTGAGCGTGATTTTGCATGACAGGTTGCCGGTGTTGTTTTTTTCTCACGATTTTCACGTTGTCGGTCGTGTTTGGAAAGAGCTTCCCCAAGCACGTGAGCCTTGTGAAGGCACGAGATTCGGGGACACTCTGGGGTACGGGGCGGCAGGGAACCGCTCGCGGGTGCAAAGGCGTGGTTTCAGACTCACAGTTTTTCTTGACCTCACGTGCCCTGTGCCCAGACTTCGACGTGCAGATCTTCTCGCAGCGCCGCAAGTTGCCTTTTTGTCACTTTTTGTTGGCCGCTTGCAGGTGGATCCTGCCCGGGCCTTCGCTGCTTCCGTTGTCATGGCCATCAAAATGCCAACTGATCTTTGAGGTTTGGGTCCCAACTCGCCAATCTGTCAGGCCCCCTGATCTTTGGCCTAGCGAGGCCCGGACACCCCCCCCCCGTCCCGTGCCAGAATTTGCGCGACTCGAAGACGTTCTGCCTGGGCCTTTTTGCTGATTGCGCCGTCAGTGTTGATGTGCGGATTTCAACTGAGCTTTCAGGGTTGGGCCCAACCTTGATCTCTTTGACCGGGTGAGGCCCGAGTGGTTTGCGTTGCTTTTTGTGTGCTTTTCCTAACCCCGTCAAGCCGCGCCGTCAGGCCCGTGTATCTTTGGAAATCGTGACCTCGTTGAGCCAGGCCCGCATTTTGTATTGTCTCTCCAACCTGGTGAACCCTTGACCTTGAGAGCGATTGCCCCAACCCCGTCAAGTCGTAATGTCAGGTTTTTTGTAAGTCAGGCAGTGTGGTTTCCTCAAAATCGTTTTTTTTCCTGGCGCTCAGGCACTCCGAAGTTTTGAGCTTGCGCCTCGAGCTCCACGTTCCGCCCGGGCCCTCGCCGCGTTCCATTGTCATGGCCAAGAGGTCCCGTGCAGGTTATTGTCATTTGATCTTTGTCACCAATCTGTCAGCCCCCTTGATCTTTGACCCAGTGAGGCCGTGACGGTCCGTCCCGAGGGTCCCTGGGGTCCCTAGGGTCCCTGGGGTCCCTGGGGTCCCTGGGTCCCTGGGCACGCGTGCGTCCGCTGCAGGTGCCATGAAACAACGTCCTTCCATCAAGACATCTCGCCAGGGTCCCAAAGTGCATCCATCCTTGTCAACACACGGCGTTTTCAGGGATTTTAGGGACCCCAGAAACCTTACGGACCCTAGGGACCTTAGAGAGACCCTAAGGGACCTTAGGGACCCCAGGGACCTTAGGGACCCCAGCAACCCTGGGTCTTGGGGGCAAGAGATCCTGTCAAGTGTGAAGTCATCTCTCAAGCTTCGGTTGGTTGCAGCTTGCCACGCAAGGGGACACAAAGACGCGCGGAAGGGCAAAGCTTCTGTTGTTTTTCCATTCGAGCAACTTTCCATACATCTATTTATCTTTGTGTACTCATATCTATTTATTTTCATACATTTATATCTTTATATCTCTACGTATTTGTATCTCTTTATGAATTTTCATGTATTTATATCTTTGTATTTCTACAAATTCATATCTTTATATCTTTGTATCTTTATACCTTTCTCTTTATATCTTTATATCTTTATGTCTTTGTGCCTTTATGTTGGTATGTCTCTACATGGTGTTTTCTACATCCGTGTTTGTAGTTGGGAGATGATGTTGTGGTGTTGTGGCCCATTTGCAATGTGTGCATGTGTGTGTGTCTTGGCTTCGGCATTTTGTGTTTTTGCATGACCCTATGATGCTGGAGAATGCCCAGGCTGAGTGGTACCCGGCGTGAAGTTCTTGCCAAGATCCCTTCAAGCCCCAAAATCCTTGGGGCCACCAAGGATCTCTTGAAGTCCCTGGGTCGCTGGGTCCCTGAAGTCCTCGGAGTCCCTAGGGTCCCTAGGGTAGGGTTTGCAGGGTTGCTAGGGTCCCTAAGGTCCCTAAGGTCCCTAAGGTCCCTAAGGTCCCTAAGGTCCCTAAGGTCCCTAAGGTCCCTAAGGTCCCCAAGGTCCCTGAACCCGCCGTGCGTTGACAGGGATGAGCGCACTCTGGGGCGTCTGATGCACACGTGTGCAGGGACCCGAGGGACTCTAGGGACCCTAGGGACCTTAGGGAGCTTCGGGACCCTAAGGAATGTAGGGACCCTAACGATGCAGGGACCCCAGAGGCCCCAGTGGAAGAGGCAGGGCTGTTTGCTTCCTTTGCCGATCCACATTTCCCGGCATTTTCTTTTTCCGCCAAAGCAGCCAAAAGGGCATTGGAGAAGGCCGTCTGTTTGTGCGCGCTGCTTCGGCGTGTGAGTCTTGCTGGGCAGGACCTGCTCCTGGCGCGGCGGCAGCTGCAATTTGCTCTGGAGGAGCAAGAGACGGCCCAGGCGCAGGTCGCGACAGCCCAGGAGCAGGTCGCGACAGCCCAGGAGCAGGAAGCAATGGCGGTGAGGCTTCTCGCTCGGGCGGAGGAATCGGGCGATGCGAAAAAGGTGCAGGCGGCGGAGAGGAAGGTGCAGGCGGCGGAGAGGAAGGTGGAGAGGGCGGAGAGGAAGGTGGAGAAGGCGAAGAAGGAGGTGGAGAAGGCGGAAAGGAAGGTGGAGAGGGCGAAGAAGGAGGTCAAGGAGGCGAAGGCAAGCGGCCGGACGAAGGAGTCCGAGGCGGGCGGAGTCGGTCGCTTCCGCCGGCCGGCTGCGTTCTGGGACTCTGATCGTTGTGTGCGGTTCTGAAATTCCCCGCGCGGCCCACACATGGTTTTGGTGGGGCTGCCCTGATCGCATCCAGAGAACCAGGAATTCCCAAGATAGCATTTTTGCAGATTGCGGCGGTTCGTGTCGTTGGCAGGCTCGGTATGGAGCCCCCATGAACGGATGGTTGCCTTTCCTTGTTGGAGGTCGGTCATTCCTGCCGGTCGACATTGATTGAGACGTGCCGTTGATCGTTGTGAGTGATTTTGCGCTTGCCCCCAGCCTGCTTTTGAAAGAGCAAGACCTGCCCGTCTGCCGGGGAGAGGGAGGGCAAACTCTGATGTCTTTGCACCCATTGGGCCCTTGCTGCTGCAGGCACAAGTGCATTCTATGAATGTTCTCTTTGATGCAGTGAGCTCAACCATTCCCGGCTTTGCATCCACTCGCAGTGTTCTTGCTCGATGTTTTGCCCGTTTTGCTGCCATTCCATCCTTTTCTTTTGTTCAATTTTCTCCGTACCTGTTCATATCTGCCTGATTTGGTGTGAGTGGTTAGTGGAGCGCAAAACTATCAAACAGTCGAGGGGGAACGCGCAAATATTGAAGAGCCTGCTGTTCCAGTCGCCTGCCTTTTGAAGAGCAAGACCTACCCTTCTGCCATGGTCGTTGCTGCTGCAGACACAATGCAATTCGAAGGTGAAATTTTGTTCCGACAGCACGAGCATGGAGGAGATTGCTAAAGTGTGCACAGTGTATTTTTGCTGTGATCGCATCCACAGAACCATGAAATAATCCGTTTGGGCACAGCACAGCGCATTTTTTTGGGCTTCAGCTGGCTGCATTGTTGGCGCACGTGATGCGACTCACTGTGGAGCCCCACGAATGGATGGTTGAGGTCATGCATCCCCAGCTTTGTGTCCATGCTGGATTGTGCTGTTTTACTTTTTGTTCCAGTCGTTGATGCTCGATTCTCGAACAGCTCATGCGTCATCTTTTCCTGTCTTGTCCGTCGTCTGCCGTGCAGGCAAGCGGGATCAAGGACGGCTTGTGTCATGGCTCGCGTCCCGTGTGTGCTCGCGGCTGCAGGACGACTCAGATGCCACGGCGTTCATCCAGGAGCTGGTCAACGCCAAGCCCAAGGACCTCGGCGAAGGCCGGCAGGACGGCGGGATGCCAGTTTTGCTTTTCTTGCTGAAGCCACACTGAGGCGTGCAGGTCTTCGACCTCAAGGAGTGCCTGCCCGCCAGGCCCTACGACTTGAGCGGGAGGAAGCTGCTGACGCGGAACACGACGCGCCAGGCCTGGAAGGCCACCTTCGAGCTGATGAAGGACGGCACGGAGCGCGTGGCCATGCTGGGGATCCCCGGCATCGGCAAGAGCCGGTCCCTGGCGCTCGGCCTGTGGCACCTGGTGTCGGGCCACCGCCCGGACTGGATCAAGGAGCCCGAGGCCATCGTCTTCGAGGCCCGGGAGGGCGGCTTCGTTTTCGTCTTCACCAACAAGGACGGCTGGAAAGGGCAGAGCCTGCCGATTGGCAAGTGGGATGCAAGCGACTGCGAGCACCTGCGGAACAGTGACAACTGGTATTTGGTGGATACCTACGGCAAGGCGACCACATATAAGCTGCCTGCCAAGACTGTCAAGGCCTGCAGCCCCGACAGGGAGCACTACACAGATTTTGTGAAGAGCGGCGGGGCTTGTGTGTACGTAGAAGCATGGAAGAAGGCTGAGCTGGAACTGGCCTATGTGCATTTTGCACAGCCTCCGGTCGACAAGGACACGGTGTTGCGCAGGTTTCAAGATGTTGGAGGCAACCTGCGTGCCCTGTTGGACGACGATGGAAGCTTCCAGAAGTACCTTCAGGATCAAGAAGTTCAAGCTGCCGATTGGAAGGGCTTGCAGCCTGCTTTTGGCCATGTTCTGTTGACGAAGCTCTTCACGTACGTCACCGTGGACGGCAAAATTGGCACGGCCCAAGTTATCTCCCCCAAGGCCGCAGAAGTGATAGCAGATAAGCACTATGACAAGCTTGCTGACCTCTGGACCAAGAACGATCCACGTTCCAGGTGCTGGTTTAAAGACTTCCTTGGACCCCTCCTGACCTGCTCGTGGTTTCCGAAGAAGTTTGACGCCTACCACATCACTGACAAGAATTCGATAGGCAAAGCCAACTGGGAACGGACTCCGTGCGACTCTTTGGTGATTGACGCGGGTTTGCAGCTGCTGAGGTGCGACACTAAGGACATATTCGAGCGAAAATGGAGCCAGGCCGTGAAGAACGGCAGCCTTGAGAAATGCCTTCTGCAAAGCCCGGAACAGTACTTAGGCGTCGATTACTTGCTAGGCTTGAATCATGGCATCTCCACGACAACTGGTCCCAAGCACAGCATCGCAAAGAGCTTTCTAGAAAAGCTGCGGGACATTTTCCAACACTGCAAGGGACAGTACAGTTTCACTCTCTCTTTTTTCACTACGGGAGACCCCACAAAGTTCGCCCCGGAGTCAGGACAGGAGTTCAGAGCCTTCATGGAGATGGCGCGGGGGCCAAACAAAGTGTTTAAGAATGTGCATGTACAGGTGGTGCAGGTTCCGAAGACGCGAAACAGCATGGAGAAAGTTTAAAAGATGCGGAGTGTGCTGTAGGGCATGTGGCGTCCAAAACAAGATCTCAGGCATGGGAGCGTGGGCTGGTATGGGATATGGGATCGTTTTTGTTGGTCGGTTGCTCAGGTTGCACTCAATGCCATGTCGCAGGAGTTCAGAAGCTCGTATGCGGATGCAGCCCCCTAGAAGTGGCTTTGGTGTTGGTTCTTTGCTCGGCGGTTCGATGGCCTGCAGAAGGCCACCAGCTTGTGCCCGGAACCTCACTGAGGTGCCAAACAACAAGTCCGTACTGTTTCCACGGCTGTGGTGGTGTGAGGATACCAATATCAAAGACGCCATCCGAAACGATTTGAAAGAGCTGAACATTGACCTAGAGGGGCTCCTGCCAGATTCCTTGCAGTTGCTCAACAGCCCAACAAGGGGTGCCACTGAAAGGGGGGAGAAGTGGGAAGAGCTGGTTGCCCTTTCTTGGAGATCTACCCTACGGAGGATCCACATTTGCGAGCTGTTTTGGAGCCGTTCGAAGTTTGCTGGAGTGATGGTGTGGAATATCCAAGCGGCCAAGGCAATGAAGCAACTGTCATGAGTCAGTGACGTTGGGAAGGCCATCAAGTCCAACCGGAATTTTGCAACGGCTTACCACGACCTTTTGATCCCTGTGAGATGCAAGGCAACTGGTAAGCTCGAGTTCATTGCTGCGCAATGTCGTTATGGAAAGAAAAAGGATGCAGGCAAGGAAAACTTTGCAGTGAGTCTGAAGGCTGGCAGTCCTTTACAAACGAGACATGGGCCAGACGTCAGGAGGAGAAGAAATACTCTTTCATGAGTTGCGAGACCATCATTGCGCAGCTGGATGTGCTGAAACTTTTGTGAGTGTACAAAAATCGCGCTAGCAGGTGGGAGCAGGGCGGACTTAAGGTCACAACAGGCTTCACATGTTCCATGGGTGTCAGGCTTGCATCCACAAACTGAATGGCCGTTTTGGGCGGGGTCCAGGGATCGCTCTAAGGTCGAGATTCGCAAAGTCGTGTTTGGGCTAAAACTTCTCTCCACAAGCTTAGGCATGTTGCTTCCGTCAAGTATGCTCAAGAAGGTCAGCGGCCCGAATCGCTTCTGGGCCGCCTGGGCCCCAGGAAGTCGTCCAGCTGCCTCACAGCAGCTGGCCTGCCGCGCCTCGTCAGCCGCGCCGCCGCGTTGCCACTGCCCTGCGGCGCCGGCAGGGCCAGCTTCAGCAGGGTCTCCCGGCCCTCCGTGCTTTGGACGGTCATGGAGTCCACGGCCGCCAGCCTTTGCACGTCGCCGTACTGGGGATTGAAGCTCCTCGCCGCGTTGGTGGGCGCCCCGAAACGCCCCCGCGTCCTCTATGGCCTTCATGCGCCGGTTCGTCAAGTCCTTGTTGTGCTGGAACCTGTCGGCGTTGTCTTGCAGCACCCTGAACTCAGTGGCCGGCTGTTTCTCGACGTCCTCCGGGGCGCCGTGCGCCGTCTCGTGGGGGCGCGCGTTGTAGGCCGACGCGGCCTGCTTGAAGTGGTCGCTCCACTGGCCGCCTCTGCGGGCCACCCTGGTAGCCAGGTCCTTCTTGAGGGTCTGGATGCCCCAGCACGGCCGTGGCGTTGCGATCCTCGGGGCGCTTCGTTCGGTGCACGGCTTCCGCGGGCAGCTCCCGGTCCAGCGTGGCGAACTCGTTGCCCAGGTCTGTCGTGACCACGAAGTTCTTGTCGTCCCCCGTCAGCTCCTGCGTGGCACGCTTGGTGGCCCGGCCGACCGTCTCTGCGTTCTTGTTCTGCAGAGGTTCCACGGCAGCCTCCCGGGTGAAGACGTCCATGACCACCAGGCCGTACCTGGTCTTCCCCGCGTGTTCTGGCTGAAGTCGATGAGGTCGGCCTGCAGCCGGTCGTTCGGGCCCTCGGCAGCAGACTTGCCCAGCGCACGTGGCAGGTGCAGGCGCACCTGCCGGCCCACGTCGGCCTTCCGCGCCTCGAAGGCCATGGCCTGCGTCACGTCGAGGTCACGCTGCCTTGCGAGTCGGTACAGCTTCCGGGGTCCCGCACGTTGAAGTCGTCGGCCAGATCTCTCAGCGCCTCCATGTTTACTTGTTCTTCGGCCCCCGCTGGGCCTGCCAGGCTTCCACCTCGTCCAGCCTGGCCTGGAAGCCCTTGCACACCCCCCAGAGCACGCTGGTGAGGTGCGAGTAGTCGAGGCTGACCATCTCGGTGCCGTCGCCACCGGGCGGTGCCCGTCAGGTTCTTCCACTTCGTGAAGTCGTTCGAGGCGAAGCCCAGCCTCAGGTCTCCGTTCGGAGGCCAGCGCTGCGGCGGACACGACGCCCAGGAGAGCGTTGGCCACCTTGGTGTCGACCTCCAGCGGTGATCCTCGCAGCGATGTGGAGGGAGTGCTGGTCCACCACCGTCTTGAGGCCGTAGTTGGCGGCACCGTGGCGTTGTTGGCCGAGGCAATGGAGCCGTTCATGGCTGCCGTGGTGCTGTAGTTCGGCAGCTTCAGGTCCACGCCGTCGGGGGTGCTCTTCGTGGCCACCACGCCCTCCAGCGCGTCGAAGGCCGACGGGTCGGCCTTGTTTGAGAGACCCGTGGTCAGCGAGCTCTGCAGCGCTGCGATGCTGCTTCCGTGCGCGGCCACCTGCCCGTCCGTGGTGGCCAGGGCCGCTGCCGTGGGCAGGGGCGCAATGGCCGGCGCCAGTGCGCTGCTGTCCAGCTTCGAGGCCAGCTCTGCGGTGACCCGGTCGTCCAGGGACTGGATGGCGGCTGCGTTGTTGCCGGAGGCTGCCGTGTTCACTGCCAGGTCTGCCACTTGTGCGTAGGGCGTCAGAGCGAGGGCCAGCTGTTTTGCGGTGACGTGCGTGCCGTCTGTTACCTCTCCGTTGTCCAGGACCTCCGGGATGTTGCCGGTGACAGGTCCTTTAAATGGCAGGCGTGCAGCTGAAGTATATGGGCAGTAAGTCGTGGCTGGCTCCACACCTGGACTTCTTCGGTTCCGGAAAGCTGGAGTGCTACCTTGCCCGGCGGCGCCCGGGCCTGGAGGTGCGTGGCGTGTGGCCAGCGCAGACAGTCCTGTAGTCAGCGCAGGATTGACGGCGGGGAGTAATATGGCCTATGGCTAGAAAAAGCACGCGTTCGGCGCACGATGGCGTTTTTTGGCAAGGTCGGAATCTTGGAACTCCGACCATGGCCAAAAATGTGTCCTTTTGATGGCCCGGCGATAACTTTTTGCTTGTTTTTTGCAGCGTATGGCACGCATGTGGCACGCATGTCGCACGCATGTCGCACGCGTGTGGCACGCATGTGGCATGTGCGTGTTGCTATGCGCTTTGTTGGCGCGCCGCAGTTGCACCAACAACATGATGCGCCCCAGTTGCGTTCATGCCGACTACATGTTTATTCGATGCGCCGCAGATGCATCGAACATCATGTTCAGTCGTCTAGCCGGGTCCCCGGTGACCTTGGCTTGGACTCAAGACGCATGCTTTGTGCTTGCAGGCACCCAGCATAGCTTTCGATGACTTGCCGCGCGCGGGCCTCAATGCCACACAACGCACTGCAGTTGCGTTCGTGTTGCGTGTCCTCTTATTGCGCACCGCAGTCGCACTTTGAGGCATGCTCTCCCATCGGTGCCAGGTCAGGTGACCTGGTCCCAGGCACTGAGCCCGCAGGCTGCATGTGAAACCCAATGCCGCGTCGCATTTCCATGCATTTTGGTGGCCATGCGCACCTCAGGCCGCAGCGTGTACTGAGCTCTTTTTTCTTAGCGTGTGCCCCAGTCCCCACTGCTTCGCTTCGTGACCGCATTGCCAAAGCCAAAGGTGCATCAGATCAATCAGGACGTCACGGACAGTGGTCTTCTCACGCAGTAAACTCAGTCAGACTCCGGCGTACTACTTGCGCCCAGTGTGCAAACACATCACCCGCCGGTCATTTGCATGCTTGTCTTTGCCTCCCCTAGACCAGCGGCACGCATCGCTCTGCATCACACCCTGCCATGGAGCATGAAGAGATTCTGGACGCAATGCGCAACACTATTGCTCGGAGTTAGAAATATTCCTTGAAGACCTGTACCTCCTCTTTCTCAGCATGCGTTTCTGGATCCGCATCGTGGCCTTCTGCATGATCGTCATCACATTGATCGCACACATGAACTGCCTCCAAACCCTGCATGCCCTTTTCGAAATCAGCGGTTGGCTTCCCACCAGCATTTGGTGCATTCATTGCGAGGCAATGCGCACGAGGCAAGCTGAGATGGCGAGCGCGCGGGCTGTAGCAGCAAATGGCTGCAAAGGCAAGAGAAGTCGCCGTGTTCCAGGCGTGCGCGCAACGCAAGGTGATGCAAACATCCACAATGGATACAACGCAAGGGTGTAATGTGGCAAAGGGCGGCGATGCGGTCGTTCCCACTGCGTAGGGGCCTGGGCCGCTCGACGCGTCAAAGTCACAGAAACGGTTGTGCAACGCAGTGGCAAACAAGGAATGCAACCGCAAAGAATTATCTCCCTTTTCCCACAAAACTGCAGCAGGTGCAACGCATGCTTGCGATTAAGTCCCTGGATTGGAACCTTTTGCACTACTGTCAGGGCAGTCGGGCACCACGCACACATGCGCCAATTTGCATGCTTTGGCGGTGCAAATATAGGATTGAAATTTGAAGCAGTACGGGGCACTGCGATGCATAGAGGTACGCGCCAAACCTGGAGGGCTGGAAGCAGCGAACCCTGGCTCACATGGAGCAGGCGTGCAATGCGTCCATTCCTCTGCCAGGTCTGCCAGTTCATGGCGTGTGCAAGAAATGTGCAGTGGAAGCACGCTGATGCTCTCGACCAATGCAACGCTGAGCGGATGACCAGTGCGATGTCCTCCACGCCCAGACACGACTCCATTCACGTAGGAAAGGCAAACTGGGTTTCATGTATGCGTGCGTGCTATGCTCAGAGCGAAACTTGGCATTTGCCAGCAAAGCTGAGAAGGGCTGGATGATAGCCAGGTACTTCCGGGCATGCGGTAACCTGCCAGGCTTCTTCTGCGATTGTCCAGCATGCCATCCACGTTGATCTGCGGATCTATGCGGATGTAGTCGATGAAGTATGCGGACAGGGAGTGCATGCGTGCGATGCAATATGTGATACGCCCAAAATGCAAATGATATCGAGCAGCAGGAAATTGCACAGGTGCCCCACGCGACTCACGCATGCCAGGCGGTCATTGCGTTCTGGGTGGCGTATCCATTTACTAAGTAGGCGCGCAAAGCAGTCCTGTGCAGCTCGGGACAGCGAAGCATCGATGCGGTGCGACTGTTGAGGTGCTGTGGCCTCTAAGTCTTCGATGGCATCGAAGCATGCGTTGGCATCGGTTGCAAGGGACAGGCTGGCGCGGAGGTCCAAGCACAGTGGCCTTGCCTGACCAAAGAAGCACAGCGGTGCATCGCGTGTTTTGAAACCCTCGCCCAGCTTGCACTCATGCGCATAGCGTGGGCTGCCGAGGGACAAACGTGCAATAGCGTTTGCATTCCCACAGGAACAGACAACACAGCCTCCGAGGCTGGGGTGAACAAACACCACCGCCTGGCCCCTACAAATTTTCGTGCAATTTGTAGCAGCCTGGGCCCATGAGCATAAGTGCCGGGAGAGCATAATATCTGGGCAGACCAGCTTAGCAGAGGCAATGCTGCCGCCTTTAAGAATAAGCCGCAATCTAGAATGCGTTTCACACCGCATGATTTGACTTTGCATCCTCACGATGCTCCTTGGCGGCCAGTGCGCAGGGCAGGCTCGCAACCGCACTGAAGAGGGGGCGAGCGTGGGGCCAACCCTAAAGTGGGGGTATCCGCATGGGGATGCAGGTGCAGGGGATGGACACGCTTCCCTCCTGCATCCCCGAGCCTGGACTTCTGAGCAACGCCTAAGAAAAAAGGAGCGGAACGATTGGGTCGGTCGGGCTTGTGTTTCTTTTTATTGCTTGTTCCCTCTTGGCTTGAAGCAGTGAACAGGATTCTATCGCTTGGGGTTTCTATTTCCCCAGTGTGTTAATCCTGTTCGAATCTTCAGCCGCGTTGCCGTTTGTGCTTCAAGCCATTTTGAGGGACGGGGTTAGAGGGTTCGATCCTTCTTTCTTTTTTGAGCCCACCCACCCGCCCTATCAGAGTTCAGGTGAAAAACCTTGACGTACAAGGCTCGCAAGCCTTAATAGGACTTGCGTTCAATCCGCACATTGTGCCAGCATGCATATTCTGCTGAGTGTGGCTTTTTTGCCAGGACATTTGCGAGGACGCATTCCTCCGGCATCTGTTCCGGACTCAGTCCGGGAAGTGAGGACGCATCCCTCAGAATCTCTCACAAAAGCACGCTTTGCTTCGTGCGGGACTCAACGTTACAGGATCAGCCGTTGGTCCGCTTGCACGCATTGCTTCTTGACGTGCCACAATACCTCCAGTTTTGTTTCACACCCCTGGGTAACACACACTGTGAACAGGTTGAACACGTGTTGTTAACCTTGGGGGCCCGGGGTATCTGTGCAGGCTCCGCATGGGGATGCAGGTGAAGGGGATGGACACGCTTTGTCATCCCTCCTGCATCCCCGAGCCTGGACTTCTGAGCAACGCCTAAGAAAAAAGGAGCGGAACGATTGGGTCGGTCGGGCTTGTGTTTCTTTTTCTTGCTTGTTCCCTCTTGGCTTGAAGCAGTGAACAGGATTTTAACCCCTCTACAGAGAGAAAGAGGAGCGCGGTGTTGCCACAGATCCCAGCCTGGTCGCAGGAAGCGTGGCGCGCGTCATCCCCAAAATGGGCACAGGCATTTGACAAAAACATGAGCCTTCGGCAGGAATTGCCCCACCATCAGCACAGACACTCAAGCATTGCAGGAGCGAAAAAAATGGCCAGTCAGCCTTGCCAACCAGCTGGCCTTTAGTGAGGTCCCGCCTTTCCCTCGCGCCAGGCATGAGTTCTTTGGCAGACTGGGCCAGAGGGTTCGCGGGTTTTTAGGCCTTTTGTCGCTAAGGGTTGTCTTTCCCCGCTGCCATTTTCTGCTCCCAGCCTTAAACCCACGCTTTGGGACACGCCTGTCCCGGTTTCGTTTTGGAACTCGCTCTCACTGATGCGTTTGCTGGAACCGGCCTTCTGCATTAGGGACTTCCAGCTGCGCTTGGGGTTTTCTCTTTGGTAAATTGGTTTTCAGTGAAAGGCTGTAGAAAAGGCAAACCTCAAGCTTCAAGTGCTGCTGGGCAATGTGCGCGGTGAGTGCAGAAAGGCGGAGGAAGCTTGCAGCAGAACTTGGTGCAGAGGAGGACTCAGACAGGAATCCCGCATGAGGCATTTGGCATGAGACATGAGCAAGAGCAGACACACAGCAAGCAAAACGCGTTGTACAGACGTTAGAATGCTTGAGGGCGGGGGCCGATTTCATGGCCTCCCCTGTTTGCATGGCTCCGGGCAAGGCCACGGAGATGCTTATGTGGCCGAGGGCGTAGCCAGGCTTGACTTGACCAGCGTGTCTGCGAGTGTCGCCAAGAAACCAACGCATGTTCTCCACGTCCCGGCCTTGTTCAAGCGTTCCATTGCTCACGTCGCGTAAGCTCTGCAGGGGTCGCAAACTGGCCGGGTGTTTCGCTTCAGTTTCTGGTGATACGATGATGGATATTGGAACCTGCAGGGGACGCAGGTCTTCCACCGTTGATCGACACAAGTCCAGGGACTTGCTGTGCCTGGTCTCTGAAGCCTTGGTCTTACGGCCTTGTGTGCAAGTCTGTGTAAGGCAAGGGAGGAGATGGGTTCGATGGCGAGCGGTACAACACCTGCCTGGCCGAAATGTGCTTGGACGCGTGGCCTCTGCCTGTGCAGGGCGGCGCCTTCGGCTTGGACTTCTCTGGGATACTGTGTGCTTAAGCCGACACTTCGACTGGTGACGCCCACAGCTTGTTTCTCATCTGCTACGTATCGGCGCAGGCTGCGCTATGTGCATGCCGACCTTCTGAAACCCAGCCCCGAGTGAGGGACATCTCAAAAAGGGAATTGGATGCGACATTCCGCTGGGCACATCGGTCCCGCTCAGAGCCCAACATGGCATGCAGATGCTTGTGCGGGGCTCCACCGCCAACGTGGTGGCAGGAACTGGCTCAGACCTGCGTGGTTCGCAAAGTCCGAGACTTGCCAACAGGCCTGGCCTGTCACACCAACATGCTGCGAGCCCCAAATTTTGGACAGCGCAATCCATTTCGCACCACGAAATGAAACCATGGTTGAAACCATTGTTTGCTGGTATGTACAGGGGAATCGATTCCTTGCAGGGTCTGTTAGGTGGTGCGAAACGGATTTCGCAACCATCCACAGTAGTGTTTGCCAGCAGGTCATTGAGCCGCTTTGTCACAGGGTGCTATGTCTCTTCACAAAGGGCCCTGTTGCCGGCGTCTGAGTTTCAGCCAGCTCCTGACTACCCCAGCACCTTAAGAGAGATCTTCCCAACTTCGGCCTCCTGCTCCTCTTGGCCAATCAACCCGTTTGGTCCCATTTTTAAGAACCTTTGCTGATCTGGGAGCTGTTGATGTCACTTCGCGTTCCGCTTCCTCCCTCCTCCAAAGTGGCAGTTGCTTTCTCTCGCAGCGCGCTACACTTGTGCATTAGCTGCTAAACCAACATGACGATGCGTTTTCGTTAAATTTATTTTATTTTAATATATTTTCGATTGAGGCAACTTGGATCTCTGGTATCGGTCCTTGGTCCTTTGATTGCTCGGCAGGGTGTTCGAGGTACAGAATCCCTTGCTGGTTGCTCTAAGAAGGGGGGGGGAGAGAGAGCAGGAAACCATTCTTTTGGCGTGGGAAATTGTAGAGGAAACCTGGCTGATACTGGGGCACAGGAACTGGTTGCCGCACATTTTGACTGGCGACCGACCTGGTGGGATTTTGGCATGCCGCGGCCTCTCTTTTCGAGTAAAAAGTCGAGTGTGAAACATGAGGCACATTTCAGAGATCACAAGTCTCAAGCTGCTTGGGAACCAAACACTTCACCCCCCCAACTTCACAGCACCCGACTGGAGCACCGATTTGCCACGCCAGGTTTTTTTCCGAGGGTTTTGCCCCTCTGAGCGATCGCCATGGCGCTTGAGCCCCATGGCTACCCGCCGCCCTCTTACCCGCCACCCGATTACGGGTATGGGTCGGCCTATGGGGCGCCTGCTGCGGCCTACCCAGGGTATCCGCCGGAGTATGGCTACGCCTATGGGGCACCGCCCGCCTACCCCAGCCACTTGACGCGCAATGGGTAAGACTCGGACAGTATGATGGCCGGCTTTCCTGGTGGCCAAGCAAAGCCACAAATGAAAAGTGCCAACTTAAACACAACACATCCAAGTTTCCAAGTTGGTTCCCGAGGCTACGGCTACGGCGCCCCGCCTCCGGGCTACGGCCCGCCGCCGCCGGGCCCGGAGGGCTACGGCGCCCCGCCGCCAGGCTACGGGGCGCCGCCGCCGCCGGGCTACGGGGCGCCGCCGCCGCCGGGCTACGGGGCGCCGTATGGGGCTGCGGCCTCGTCTTCGGCGCCAGGCTACGGGGCGCTCGGCGGCCTAGAGCGAGTGCTCAGTGGCTCAATCCCCACGGGTTTCGGATGGGGAGGGCAGGTCGAAGTCGGGCATTGGGGCGGGTGCTCATTTGTGGGGGTAAGTTGCTTGATTTGTATCTTTTTTAGGGTGCCACCAACATGGCGGTTTTCTGGTAGGTTTCCCTTTGAAACCACAAAAAGAGACACCCCCACACCCACATTGGGGTGGGTACAGGGTAATCTTGCTCAATGGATCATTGCCACAGCTTGCCGTCCGCAACAACATTTTGTGGCACACGTCACCTCGTTTGAGCCAAGACTGGTACGTGCAAACAGCGGCGGCGCCGATTTTTCGTGGATCCGTTGGAACTGAAGGGGGTGGAAGAGCAGCCGGATGTCGACTGAGGTTAGAGAAGAACTCCTCCTACGCCTGAAGCTTGGGATTTGGCCAGCGCAGGCATGCGGTTTGGAATGATTTCAGCTGGAGTTTATTCCAGAGTTTTGCTTCGGAATCCCGGACAACCGTCTAGCTGCTGAGATGCTCAGTTTTGGGCCCCTTTTCAAAGACAATCTAAAAAATGAAACCACCATGGGACGACAGGTTTAATCCATGTTTCCATTTACCAGGGTTCCCGTTTTAAGTACATATTTTTGACCCACTGCCATTTATGTATGTATATATATATCCTTAGGATGGTCCAGGGGTTTGGTGGTCATCCTTCAAAGGCGTGGAAGTCTTTTCTGAAACTCCTGCGAGATGAGAACAGCTGCAATTGCAGGCTTACCACCCCGAATTCGTTTTCCTTGCAGGTCGCAGACAGGTTAATCTATTCGCAGGTCAAAAGGATTCATGTCTCCTTTCCATCAAGCAGCTTTTTTTTTCTCCAGTTCTCAATGATTTTTTCTCCATGTTTCCTTCATTCCATGAACCACTTTTGTGATTCAGTGCGTCCCAGCGGTGTTCCGCGGTTGTTCCTTGCCCGTTTCTGGCGGGGTTTCCCCCCGCGGCTTTTGGTCCGGTCGATTGTTCGCAAAAGTCCGAGGCTCGTCGGGAGACCCGGGATACCCGGGATACCCGAGACCGGGACCGACAGCCGGAGCCCGAGGGAACCGGTTTTGGGGACGGGATTTTTATTCGAAGCCAGAGGTGGGATGGTCTTTTTCTTGGGGCCATTCCAACTCATTCTCTGCTGAGAACCAGCAAGTTTTGGAGGCCCCCATACTACTAAAGAGGGGCTCAAGAATCCGGACAACATTTTGACTGTGGGTCAAAGTTGGAGCTGCATTGTTTTGGCAAATCAGCGGGAAATGCACCAAAGATCAAATGTTTGCAGAGCAAGTGGCGGCTCGCAAGCCAGCGGTTTGAGTATTTCCTCAGCCATTATGAGGAAGATGTTTTCAGTTGCAGCCGAAACGGCTCCACTTTAAAGCAGTTTGCAAGCCTGCCGCAAGGGGGGGAGTTGTTGTTTGTGCCATGTGGGTTTGCCTCATGTCAGGTAACCCCTCATTGGCATTTGGATTTGGATTTGCACCGGCCCCTGGTTCTGGAGGGTAGGTGGGACCACGGATTCGGCTCCAAGCTGCAAACCACTTTGCTTGAGGGAAGCTGCTCATGGGGGCTGCAGAATTGCAAGGGGCTCGCTCGCACACCGCAGGTGGGCCCTTCACCTATATTGTTCGTTGCAGAAATGGAATCCTGATGTTTTGTGAGCCGGCCTCTTTGTGCGTGACCCCTATTGCGAGAAACCATGTTGGTTTGGGTCAGGTCAAATGGTGAGATGGGGCGTGCTGAGAGATCTCCGGGTTCAATTTGGGTTTGTGTCAAAATAAATAGATAGATAAACAAATAAATAAACCAACTAATAAATAAGTAATAATAATAGCTAATTTGCAAAATAAGAGAAAGTCCACATTTCCCTTTGACCACCAGGCTACGCTCTTAGCCAACTTCCGAGTGATTGGCGGTCCGTAGGCGCAAACAAGCGCCTGGCCGCATAGAGCCAGGCGGGAGGTGGGGTTTTGGGGGGGGGTCGCCGTGACGGACCCCCTGGAACCCCAGCTTTGGGGCTAGGGCCACTTTTTTTTGGAGACAACCCCCCCCCCAATAAGGGTTCCACGGGGAGGGTGGGGAAACCAAAAAGAAGCTGGGCGTGTACTTTCACCGAGAAGCATCTCCAATGCATACGCCTGGACAAAATTTGTTTGTGCTTGGCCAGTTGCTTGGGGATTTGCTTCACGACATGGATGTCCAAACATGATCCCTGCTTGGATTACAGCTCTCTGTTCCACGGTCCTCGGCTCACCTGAGCGGGCTCTCCTTAAAAGATGAGATCCATCCCCCAAGTTAGGAAAAGTTACCCATGGGTTCGCTCATTGGGCCCTGAATGGGATATTTTGGACCTTGCGGTTTAGGGGGGCTGCTGCCATTTTCGTACGCACTCCACGAACTTTTGCTACGGAACTTCACGCCTGCCACGGCTCAGCGTTTCGACTGCGAAGCGACTGGTGAAAAGTGGAGCGGAGTGGCAGTGCTTTTGGTTTTGGGCAGACGCCTTGATTCTATGATGCCGTTTTGTGTGCGTCACCAAGTAAAACTGGGGAGCCCAACCGTCCAAAGCGGGTTCAGAAGCAAGGGCCTGGGGATCACCAATTATTGGTGTCCTGTCGAGTGCCGAACCCCAGAGTTTGACTTGCGGGTTTTGAACCACGAGCGGACATTTGTGGTGTAATCCCAGCGTGAAAGACCAAGGAAAGGACCACCGGACAGGCAGACAGGGGGTTTGTCTCATAGGGCAACCCAGTGGGCAGTTTTCCGAGTCTTTGAATTCAACAGAAGCAAGGGAAATCAAAAGCAGCACCAACTCCAAATCAGGAACCACACCCGCAAGTTTGACCCAGGAAAAACAAGCCTTGAGCAATCAAACTAGTTTTTTTTTTTTTGGTGGTTGTTGTGTAGGCGTGAAGATAGGGACACTTTTTGTTTCCTCTTGGTTGAGTCGCCCCCCTTATATGCCCACGTACTCCCCAGTTTTTAACATGGAGCCCCAAGCACCGTGCTGGTTAGAGGAAGCAACCCCTTCGTGGGACTCCTTCTTTTCTAGGGGACACTTCCATTTCCGTTCCATCCGGATCTTTCCAACCAGCAGAACCCCAGTAGACACAGCGATCGGTTTTTGAAAAGAAGGATGGTTGAGCAGAGTGGAATCGGACTCAACCCCTAGATCTTTGGGTTCCCTGATTTTCGCGCCTTCTGCTTTCGTGGGCGTGGGTTCAACCGCGTTGGTCCAGGCGAGAGGAGGAAGGGCAAGGCCGGCAGCGAGTGATTCGAGTGTGGGCGGGGTTCTTGTTTTATCCTCCCTCCCACCACATACAGTTGACGGTTGCGAAATCCATCGCGAAATCCACGAAATGAGACCACAATTGAAACCCTTAGTTGTCGGTATTTGCAGGGAATCATAGCTGGTGCAGGATTTCGGCCATTCACAAAGAAGCAACTGTGGGAGGGTACCTGGAAGATCGATTTTGGCTCGAAGCGACCACGTCCCTGTCAGTTGCGAAGTTAGTGGAAGGGAGGCACTCCTTTTGTTTTGAAACACTTCATTTTTGAGCTGGCACGCTTTTCGTGGTGAGAGGGGTAAGAAGACAGCGACCCTGCCAGAGACGATAATGTCACTCCTTAGATTCCCGGACCTTAAACTTTTTGGGAAGCCAGCTTTGGTGAGCGACAAGCTTGTTCTTTTGCGGCCCAACTCAGGGACTAAGTAACGAAACTTTGAGGCTCTTATCCCAAGACCTGGGCTGCCGGATCTTCTCCCAGCCGCCCAAGTAGTTTGCTGGGAAGAGTCGGACAGTCGCCCAAGCAGGCCGATGGCCCAAGAGTTGGAATCATATGTGTCTCAAATGGGGGTTCCCTTTTTTCTAGGAGTCGGAGCCTGCAGAATGGATTTAGGTTTGGCTTTTTGGTCTCCCTTGAAGCCAACCCCCTTCGAAAGGGGTAGAAAACTCCAAGAATTGACGGGCCAACAAATCATCGGCGCTTTTGTTCATGGGAATGTCTCGTGGAAAAGCATTCGCCAACCCCCCATGTTTTTTTGTCATAGATTTTGTCTCCATGGTAAGTACCCTCCGTTTTGGGGTAGAGGGTTGACCTCCTCCCATGTTTTTTTCTTCTTCATAGTTTTTATTTTTTGGGTAAGTACCCTGCTTTTGTTAGTAGAGGGTTGACATGATACCAACGAAATCGGGTGGGAGGGCGTATGCCATTAGGAGTCCTTTGTCCAGAATCCCTTTTTGGGGTTGAGACGATTTCTCTGCCAACCTCTTTTCAGGGTCTCTTGACCACACAAATAACAAAATATAGGAACCCTGTCATATGGGTGTCTTTTTATTCGGAATACCCGAATTGGTGCTTTCCCCTTCTGTTTCCCTTCAAAACCTAGCAAAAAGAGGGTACCTCAATGGAGATTGGAACCCTTCAGATGCTCTTCCTTTGACCCAACCCAAACCCAAGCTGAAAAGGCTGGGCAGCCTCACACCCATTTATGCCATGGACATTTTTTGACGGATGGTGGATCTTGGGAGAGACTTGGTTGAAGCACGGCGGTTTCTCAGACTAGAAGCCTTTCAGCTGAGTTTTTTTAAGGGAACTCAAAGAGGCCGAGCCAGCTTCGAGGGGGATGCGTTTCGCCTCAAGACAACCAATCAAGCTTCGACTTTGAAGTCTCACAGGGCCCAGTCGCCAGTGCATGCGGAAATTCCCCGACATGGTAGACAGGTTGAGACGATTGCGGCCATACCAGCAAAACCGCGAGTCAGAAAGTTCGGGTCAGAAAGTTCGGGATGGGAAAACGGTTTGGCTCAGGAAGCCCTCAAACCCCACGAAAGGGTAGCCCCAAAATTCCAGACGCGCCACCAAAAATTCATGGCTTTCCGCTCGCCAGGAAGGCGGAAAGAAAGGCCGGCGGGCTGGCGGGATGGACGATTTGGCTTTTGCGATGAACCCGGATGAACAAGTTGTTCTAGCACTTAGAAAGCCAATGTTGACCCCGGATTAATACACCCCTGTTTATTAATATGGGGGTCTTTCTGGTTTTAGTGGGGATTCATTACTCTTGGAGGATGGCTGTGGTTGTCAAAACTCAGGAAACCCCTGGTGAACATCAAAATAGGTGGTACATGGAACTTTAATCCGCCCCAAAATGGGATCGCCATAGCTTGTGACAACCACGACACTTAGAAAGCTATGTGCTGGGATCCTCCAAGCCCAAGAAGGGAAGGTTGTTTCAGTCTCGGGTGGAACCTCCTCGTGAGGGTTTTCTCGAGCCCCAAAAAGGGCGGGGTGGGGAAATTTTCGCGGAAAGTCACCGAAGAGGTGGTTCCCTTCCAGCCCGGCAGGTTTTCGGGATCAGCCAGCAGCGCTTTTCGAGTTTGCGACATGTTGGCAACCCTGCGACATGGGTATGGGTGAAAATTAAATCACCAGGGATTGGACCGCAGGTTTTAGCCCATGTTTCCATTTGCCAGGGTTCTATATTGAGTACCTATTTTTGACCCACACCAACATGATTGCGACCGATGTCACAGCGGTTCTTATAGGTGGGTAACCTGCTGGAAGCTGCATCGAATCAATGGGACCCATCGACGCTCCGCGCCCGTCTAGAGGGAAAGGGGGACCGCAAAGCGCTTCCTCATTTTGGTCTGGCTCGAGGCCAAGGGTACCCTTTTCAGGTTGCTTCAAAGGGGATTTTTTGGGTCCCGGTCGCCCGGCATCTCGCTGAAGTCACCTGTTGGATATGAGGCATCCCTTTTGGTTCATCCCCCAAAACTTCTCTTGATTCCCTATTTTAGGGTTCTTCCATTCCCCTTTTTGGAACCTCCAAAAGTGGCGATCGTTTCAATAGAAACCACCAGTCAATTGATCAACTTAAGGGGACCAGCAAGTAAAGTGGAATGGGATTTGCTTTTCTGGTCATTTGGTCCCCATTTCCCGACTTGGGGCTGACTGATTCACCCCGCAGCGGCAAAGGCAGAGGCAAAGGCAAGGGAAAGGACAGAGACAAGGAGAAGGGAGGCCGAGCGCGGGGAGGAGGGAAGTCCCCAAAATCAGCAGTAGCAGTGGCCGTCTTTTGTTGGAGTTGGTACTCTTTTCGGGGTTGGTAGGGAAACTAAAGGGACAACACATATTTTGTTGGGTTTTTTGATACATACCCAGTGTAGAGAGGATGGCATGGGGTGCACTCGCCAAATTGAGGATCTGGGCATGCCTTACCAAGGTCCGATGCCACATTGAATATTGACCGGTGGCTCGAATGGTTTTTTGGGACTTGCTTTTCTTCGGCGCTGTGTTGTGCCAGTCCAAAAAAGTTGGGGGTTGTTTGTTGAACTGATACAGGATCAGAAGCCAGACGCCATTTTGCGCAGAAGCCATGCGTGCGTGAGGATTTGGCCACGATTCATCCCTTCCTTCCTTCCTTCCTTCCTTCCTTCCTTCCTTCCTTCCTTCCTTCCTTCCTTCCTTCCTTCCTTCCTTCCTTCCTTCCTTCCTTCCTTCCTTCCTTCCTTCTTTTTCAAAAGAAGTCTATCCTTTCTCTTTTTTTTTTTCAGGAATTTGTACAGGCAGAGGGGTCCAGCCAACATCCACAGTGGAGACAACTCCGACCGGAGCCCTGCCTGGCCTGTGCAAGCGCGACGTGCGGCCTCGGACAGGAAATGAGAAGAAGCAAGAAGGAGGCGACGCCTTTTTCCAGCAGGGGGGCAGCATTGCGGCAGCGCTGCGGTGTAAAACTTTGCTTTGTTTTCTTTCTCCTTTTCCTGGTGACCCGAGCCCCAGAAAGTTCCTCGAACGACGCCAGGTCGTTTGAAAGCGCCGACATCTTTTGCGGAGCTTTGTGGTTGGAGTCGTCGGTTGAACCAGTTTTTTTTCATGGGTTGCCCAGGATTCCTGTCTCATGGAAATCCGTCGCTCTGAGAAAAGCAACGCCGCTGTTGACAGGTAAGTAGGTCATAACCATGGCGGCAAAGGGGACCAACCCCATGGTTATGACCTACTTAGCAAGTTGGCTGGACATCCAAGTTGGACATCCTGGTTCTAACTTGAGCAGCCGCGGTCGTCGCCTTACCACAGTTACTTACCTGACCTTGATTGAACATCCAGAGTTTTTTTTTGAGTTTTTGACGGGCCGCTCAAAGGCCTTTCGGCCTTTCGGACGCGAAGAACTGAACACCTTGCGGGGTGAGTCTAACCAGCTGAATTTCAGAGTTGCTTTCTCGGCGACAACACCACATACTGTGGATGGACAAAATCCATTTCGCACCAGTTGGCAACCATGGTTGAAACCACTGTTTGTTGGTATTTACAGGAGAATCGAATCCCTCCAGGGCCTCTGAACGGTGGTGCGAAACGGATTTCGTGCATCCGCAGTATGTTTGCCCTAGTTGCAGTTTGGGCCTCGGATTCATCATGATTTTCCATCATTCTTTGAAACAGGTTGGCTTTTTGGTGGTGGAGAGAGTGGGAGCTTTCCACAGGGGCAAGAGATCATCACTCTCGAGCACGGTTCAGGCCTCGAATCCATGAGGCCATGTTTTGGTCTGCGGGATGCGAGGCTTTGGCGAAATGCCGCAGACTTGGCATACAAAACCCCTAGGTCCCCCAGTTCCTTTTATGCAGGGTTGTGGGATCTCTCGGGGTTTCTCCAACCACTTCTGTGATACAAGGGAATCCCCCTTTCTATTCTCAAAATAGTCTTTGGGATTTGGAAAGGGGAGGGCAAGCCCCTACCAAAATAGACTGTAGAAAAAAGTTGGTACCCTGTTTCTAACCTCTCTGGAGGACCTATGGCCTTCCTTGTTCGGCTCGACATAGGCTGCTTTGAAGGGACACCAGGACGAGCATGGCTCCGCATTTCGAGACCCCGTTTGGTTTGTTAGGGAATCTCGAGTCCCATAAGGTCACGGATCGGAGTCTCAAGCGGCTTAGGCTGGGCTCTCAGGGTTTTTGAGAAATGAAATGATCCCTATCCCCGATTTGGTTTCCTTTCGGGCATCCCCAAAACTTCCCGAAAACCCAAGGTCTCAGTTCCCTCCCTATCGCTGCAAGACCAATCCACAACAAGGCATTTTTGCAGAAGGGGCTCAGTTTCGGGAAAGCCCACGTTCTCTCAACCCGTTCTTTGAGGGTCTTTTCTCGAAAATCACCGCTGAGTTCATGGACTTTCAACTTTTGGGCTTGAACCTGAACCTTCACGCAAACAAAAGGCCTTTCATAGACCTTTAATGTTGACCCCGGATTAATAAACCCCTGTTTATTCATATGGGGGTGTTCCCCTCCATAAGTGATGAATCCCCACTAAAACCGGGGACACCCCCATATTACTAAACAGGGGTTTATTAATCCGGGGTCAACATTACCCTGAACCTTCACCACGCTACGAAGCCTCCGCGTCCGGCCTCCCTCCCTGCAACTCTCCCCGGCGGCCTTTTATCGTCGTCGAGTCCGAGTCCGAGGCGAGGACGCCTCCGCGGTCTGGAGCCCAGAGGTCGAAGATAAGTGTTTTTTTTGTTTGCTTTTTTTTTTTTTAAAGGTCGCTTCGATTCTTTTTTTGGGATGGGGGTCCCCCAAGAAGCAAGTTAAACCAGCTTCCCTCTGATTGGTTCGGATTTGGATTGGATTTGGCTGAGTTGGTTCTTGTGGGGAAATAGGAGGGCTCCAGCCCTCCCCTCCCCATTTTTGGTGGGTCCCCCCATAAACACGACGCACCAAACATATGTCATTCTTTTCCGGAAAGCCTTTTTTTTTCTCTCGGAAAGAACCCTCCGGGTCTGAGGGTTCCCTGAGACAAGTTTGGCTTGTCTTTTCTTGATGTTTCCTTCGATGAACCTGTCAGGTTGCCTTGCATTGGTTTGGGATTTGAACGGGCCCGTGGTTCTTGTTGGGAATAGATGGGGAAAAAGTGTCCCCTCCGTTTTACCAACCACCGATTGGAAGGAAGCTGAGAACCTTCCGCGCGCAACTTCCGCAACAAGAAGTTTTTGGGACCTTTCATTGGCAGCTTGGGGTCATTCAAGCTCTTCCAGGTTCCGGGATGCATGCAAAATCCATGGCTGGTCGTCCCATAATACCTGAAAAAGATTGGATTCGGATCTTTTGCTTGGGGCAGAGCAACCCAATGTTTACCCCGTATTCATGAACTTTGATTGGGGGGTGTCCAATTCCTTTTAGTGGTTGGATTCAGACCACTTTTGGAGGGAACACCCCCCTAACAATGGGACGGGTTCTACTTAGATCCTGGGTCAACATGACCAGTTGTTCGGATCGAACGATGCGACTTCGCGAGGAGGGAGGTGCCGAAGGCGGAAAGGGCAAAGGCAGAGGGAAAGGCGCGAATAGGGGGCTCAGGATTTGCCGGGTGTTTGGGGGCCTTGAAGTTTCGCTTGGCTGAACGTGCTCCCAGCCAACGAAATTGGGTCGGTCACCCAAACGATTCCGAGCCATAAAATGGATGACCTTTGGTTTCCATGGTACTCGGGGGAGATGGATTCCACTGGTTTCAGATTACTTCCAGACATTTCCGTTTGTGAGATCCATTTTTGCGTATGTCCGAAAAGGACACTGTCAAAACCAGGGTAGGTAAAGTTTAGTAAAGGATAGCGCCACCTTTTGAGGGAAGCGCTGGTAACAACCCCCCGACTGGACGAAAGGATGAGCATGGTTCAAAGGGAGGGGGGAGGGGGGGGGAAGAAACATGTCTTTTTTTGGGTTCCATCATTCAGAGGAATGCGTGTTCTTGTCGTGTGCAGTCTTTTCTTCTTCTTCTTCTTCTTCTTGTGCTGTGTGGGGAGGGTTTGGTCACTCCGGCAAGGGCCCGAAAGGTTTTCATTGTCATCTTACGTTTAGACAAGAATCTCAGGTACAGGTACCGTCCACTTCGCGTATTTAGATCACTGAAACGTGTTTCTCCCCGTTGAGTGGGGCAATGACGTCCATTTGCCAGACGGAGCCGAAGTCAATATCCTCTTTTGCAGGTTCCCAATCAGCTTCCACTTTTCGGTTTGGAAGCTGCGGCAAGCTCGGCCCTTTTGGGATTTTGGGGCTTCCGTTCAAATGGCCATGGGTCAAAACCCCGGTTAGCCCCCAGTGAACATCCGATTCAATCCCCACTCAAATAGGTTCAAAAATGGGTGGAGAATTCACCTACCCCAAAATGGGATACCAAAACGGTTTTGACAACCACAGCCAAATGGCTATGAAGTCCAACGGTTGCAACACCTTCCAAATGCTTGGGCAAACAAGTCCTGAAGGATGTTCATTTGGGGTCACCTTAGCATCCCCCCGAATGTGCAAGTCCGGGGCGGACTTGGGTAAAAAACCGACATAGTCACTAGGTTATGACCATGGTGAGGACGAACCCCAGTTCCACCAGTTATAAGTAACCCCAGTTCCCAGTTCCACCAGTTCCACCAGTTCCACCAGTTCCACCAGTTCCACCAGTTCCACCATGGTTATGAGGTTCAACCCCGTTTGTTTCCTTTTCAAGCTTGCTAAGTTGGTTGAACAAGGTACTGTCGCGCCAGGAAAGGGCAAGGGCAAAGGCAAGAAGGGAAAGGCCTTTGCCTCAGAACTCCGCTGGGCTTTCTGAAAATCTGGGGGGGGGGGGAGGTCCTAAACAACAGTTGGTTTTTGTTTGGCTTGCCCATCCATCAAGAGGAGAAACCAACATCGAACCATAGACGACCTCAATCGGCGTGTAGGACCTTAGGATTCAGACCCCGGGGAAATCGAGCCCATGCGCTTGGGCGAGGCACATAGGTTCCTTGACCCAAGGATCCATGGGGTGTTTCTCAAATCTTGAGACGGATAAAATTTTTGAGGTGGGTTGTTGGTTTCCCTGTAAAACTCAGGGGTTTCCTATTTTGAGAAACACCCATGGCGCCAAGTTTTCACGAGCCTCTGCCCAGTTGTACCCTTCCAATCATGGGGAAGGGTATGGAGTCTGAGCTCGCATCCGTTCAAGTGTTTCCGATCCTCCCAAAAGGGATTCGGCCAGCCGCAAATCGGATCGGCCAGCCCTGAAGTGTCAGTCGTCTCAAAAGCCCCTGGTCGTCTTTCGTTCAGGCTCATTTGTGGACACACCCTCAGGATTCCTTGATTCAGGTTGGTGAAGTACAGTGTGCGGATGTGTTTGTACTGCTGTGCTGCCATGCAAAGGCGAAAGGAGAGGATCTGCCAAAGGGCACAGGATTGAGTAGCGCCCAAAGCCTGGTCCCAACGGCATCACAGTCTCAGTCTGGAGCAGAAGTTAATGCAATTATGCCCACCCTAAACTCACCCATTGACCCAAAGCCAACCCTCATCCTTATCCAACCCTAGCCCAGCTCATCCCCTGGTGGCATTTTTTTGCGCGTTTCCGTGGCTTTTGGATCCTAGACCCTAATCCCCTAAACCAACCCTAAGCCAATCCTAAACTCACTGTGACTAGTTCTCAACCCATCCCCCCCAACCCTAAGCCGCCCTGAGCCCACCCTGAACCAACCCTAACCGACCCTAAGCCAACAAACTTCCCAATCTAAACCCAACCTAAAACACTCCTAAACCCTCCTTGAAGTCATCCTGAACCAACCCTAAACCATCCCCTACATCCACACCAACCCAACATTGAACCCAGCATAGGCCGACTCTAAACCCAGGGTTAGCCTTGAACCACCCCGAAACCCTCCCAAGGAGTTGACGCAGTGAAGATGTTTTGCAGTCATATGTTGTTAATCAACATGCTCTTTTCCGCGGTGTGCCCTTGCGATTTGTGATTGTCGTCTATCGCCGTGCTAGGAAAACCAGGCGATACTCTGCATGGATTTCAGATCGGTGGGCGATCTGCAGACAAGCCGAAAACCTGCGAGCTGTTCGTTCCATTGATTGCGCGCTCGGCTTTCTTGACCAGCATCTTGTGAGTTTGAAAACCGATCCAGCTTCTGCTTGGGTTGCATCGCTTAACGACCCAGTATTCGCAGTAGTTCCCAGCAGAAGAAAGCCTTTTATGAACTGTCCTCGGGAGCTGTTAAATCTGCCTTGTCTCCCCCTTAAATCTGCCAATTTCACGCCCCCGCTCAACATGTTTCATCCAGTCTGGCAACCTGGCCTGTTTGGAGGCGTCAATCTTCCCTGGCTCCTTGTTTTCGTCAGCGTTGAATTCAGCGGGCTAACTGTGACGCGGTCCAACGCCCGGTTTCAGCTGGACCGGGGTTTCTCGAGAGGTCGCCACCAAGATTGCCTGGGGCGAGTGGCGGCCTTGGGAAAGGTTACACACAGAAAGCCTTTGATTGATTCATGCAGAAAGGGGTCGTGACCCCATTTTAGAAGGGGGCATGGCAGGTACTCCTGGAATGGAACCCCGGATGAAGCAGAGGCTGTTTTGTTTTAGTTGGGGGTCAGACCACTTTTGAAGGGGACAGCCCTCTATTAATAGGACTGGCTTGTTGAATCTGGGGTTAACGGGTGTGGGTCAAAAATAGGTGCTTAGAAGCGAGCCCTGGTAAATGGAAATTAAGGACTCAAACCTGCGGTCCAATTCCTGGTGGTTTCATTTTGACCCCGTTCCTTATATCGCCATGTTTACCAGCAATAACATGTTGCGTTTGTTCAAGGGGGTGCCTTTCAGGCCCATGTTTCTATGAATGGTCTGGGCAAATCTGAAGTCTAGGTGCCATCCCCCTAATGTACTCTTGGCAAAGAGTCATGGCACACATCGAAACTCAGTTGCCCAAAGCGAATGGAGCTTTCGAGCTTTTGGTTTCCGTTTCTTCCGGGGTTCCAAAATTTTTCGTCACCCGGTTCCAGGTTTCACTTTTGCTACGAGGCCACCGCTGGAGCCAAGATTTTTATTCAAAGCAACCTGGAGGTTTGATCTCGGGCCGGGGTGAGTTTTTTTTTGGTTTCGGGCGGCGTAGGGAGGACCCTGCTAGCACTGGAAACCAGGGTGATCTTTTTTGGGTGATGCGTCGGTGATCTTTTTTGGGTTGGTGTAGGGAAACCGAAAACGAACCACCGAAGCCGATGTGGGGGTCCGAGTCTTGGCCTTGGCAAAAAGACACGTGCCTAAGGGCCTAAGGAAGGGTCTTGGCACATGAATAGCCAACAAAGACAAACATTTGGTGTCCCGCACACCCTCAAGGCTTACTACATCCAACAGCCACCTTCTTTGCAAGGATTCGGACGCCCTAAAATGGACCCTCAGCTGGGTCCAAGTACCTCCATGGATTTAGAAGGTCCGCTCAGAGTCCAATGTCGTGCTTCAAGTATCCACACTTCCCTTGTTGTGTGTATATTACACTCACGTTAGAGTTTGCTCGAAAAGATCGAGCGCGCGCAGGACTTTCATCGCTCCAGATCTTGCAAAGCAGAGATGTGGGTGTGTCCAAGCACTCTTAGGGACAGAACGATTGGCCTTGGTTGTCGGCTTCATGTGTGCCTCATGTGCCCGGGGTTGGTAAAGGTGGTCAGCCTTTGAAGTAGGGAATGTAGGCAATGCAAAGGTTCCTGGCGGAGCCATGAATTTGGCCCAGAGTCGGGCCCCTGCTGGATGTTTGCGGCGAAATTCGTTCGCGCCAGCGTTTAGAAACCGGTGTTGGTGTCTGATTCGATTCCACTATATAAATTCCAACACGTCCTGGTTGTTTCCCCTTTTTTTTTTTTTTGCAAAGGGGTGGGAACGGATTCGTCCATCCACAGTGTGGGTATGTGGCTGCGGGTCAAAACCAATGGCACCATTTTGGGGCACTGGGGGTGCGGGCTTTTGACTCATGGCCATGTGTGTGTGTTGCACGGAACCGCCTCTGGACGATTTCGGAACTGCTTCCGAGGCCTTGCTTCGTGGGGCGACTTAGGAACTACAATGCGGAGAAGAAGGTGGGGGGGGGTTCTCAAAATGGGAATGTGCCGCCCCAAGCTGCTTGGTTGTGATGGAGGTCTAGTTGGGTGTGTCTTTTGGAGGGCGTCTCCTGGTTTTTGGGCAACACCAGGAGGAAAACCCACGACTTTGGAGGGTCTCCTCAAACGACGCACCCGTTTTGAGAAACTCCCAACAAGCTTTCCATGGATGTAAGGTTGTGCCCAGGCGTTTGGGGAGAACATTGGTCTGGTTTTCCTTGGCTTCCCCCCGCCAAAAAGACAACTCGTCATTGGGAGGGGTGGGGGGGTGGGGAACGGAAACGAGTTTTGTCCAATGTTTGGGAAACCCTTTGGTTTCCCCCCAAACAAAAACAACGCAAAAAGGGTTCCTTTCAAAATACGCACCCAACCGCTTTGAGCAACAAAATGGCTTTAGGCAAGGATAACTCTGCTGGTGGCGGATGCATTTGTCCATTGTTGGCGCCTGTTCGTGAGATGCAGTTTGTTTCCGACTTGCAAACATTTGGGACTTTTGACCATGGGTCATGCCACAGGTTACAGGCTGCCATCGGGCAGGGGCGCCCTTTGCCCGGGCTGCCCTTTGCATTTTGCTTCTTTGTCGAACGCAGGCCATATGTTCGGGCATCGGAACATCGATTGTCCCCCTGTTTTTTCCGACGGAGCTCCAAGCGTGGCAGCAAATGATGGGCACAAGTGGTTGCCCTTTGCGCCTTTCCTTCAAACCTTGCAGACCATGGCGATGTTCTTGCCTGCTCAGCAAACGGCGACAACTTTTTGCAGGGCTTCAAGGACACATCATTCGGAACCTACCACAACTTGGCCACTTTTGTAAAAGCAGCACCTACAAGTCGCTTCTTGGGGTGAGCTGCTTGGAGGTTCCTTCATTTGGGGTTCCCGGTATTCCCCTTTCTGATGATTGTCAACATCTTCTTTCGTCAATCTGAAGTGAGCTTTCTGTTGGATGTTTTCGGGCTGGATGTCTAGGACACCTGGCTGCTGTTTCTTACTTTCAGGCTTGGAGTGTAGGGGTTTCACCAGCATTGGGTTTGTATTTGAAGAAAAAAGAACACCCAATAACAGTTTAACTGCATACTTCATTTTGGTGGCAATGTACCCTCCCACTAACATGGAAGTGCACAGACCCCTGTAGAGAGACTACTTTCCTTTTGAGGGCCTTTTTGCACTTCCATGTTAGTTGGTAGGAGGGTACCCAACTTCGTTTCTGATTGGAATGGCCCCTTTGCTGTGCGGGGAACATGTCTGGCGGGACTTTCTTGAGTTGCTTCCCGGCTCCTCTTGCTTCAACCAACGTCAGGTAAGCAGGTTATAACCATGGTTATGAGGGACCAAGTTAGAACCATGGCATGACCTGCTTACTAAGTTGGTTGAACATCCAAGTTGGATGTGGGGTGGCCATCCTTTAATATGCATTTACAACAGCACAGGGTCAAACAAAAAGGTTGTCCCCTTTTCTCCCATGGTCAAAACCGAAAAAGGAAAGTTGGCCAAGTTGGCTTCATCCCATATGAACCAGGGCGAATGTAAATCCGAACCCAAGCCATCCGAACCCGGACGTGACCAGATGGCGTGAGTTGGTGTTGACCTATGCGAAGTCAGGCCGGCATCATCGCGTGTGCGGAGGCATATGCCATGTGCGGCGGGGCGGGCCCAGCACGGACGCAGTCGAAAAAGTCGCCGGGAGAACGGGTGTCCGAGCTCGGTCGAGTTCCCGAGTCGAGTCTCTTTTTTTTGGTTTGGTTTTGCCCAGGGGGAAGGCGGTTTTCAACCTCCAGCGCTTTCGGGTCAAAGGAGTTTTTGCTTCCTCGGTGGTGTGGTCGCGTTTTGGGGGGAAATGTAGAGGGAACCCTGAGCTTTCGCCTGGAAATGAGGCCTTGGGGGTGTTGGTAACCGACCCCCGTTCCGCGACGAGCGGCCAACCTTGTGTGGGACCTTCTCCCCGCTCTTTCGAAGGCCACAAGTGACCTTCCTTTTTTTTCAAAGGCTTATTATGTAGGTCCACACATGAACCCATGGCCGTTTTGGAGCCTGGTTTCACCTTGCCAAGACAGAGAGCCAATGACCTCAAAGCATTTGGACTTCTCGCGGGCACGCCATCGAAACGGGGGGGATGCTTAAAACATCCACCCGGGGGGGGACTTCCCGCTTTGCTTGGTTTGAATCAAAACCAAAGTGACATCAGCATCCATCTCGCAAGAGCCTCCCCTGGTCATTTGGCCATCTGTTGGTTGTTTGGGTTTGGGGATTTGAAGCCCTGGTTCTTGTTGGATGGAAGACGACTTGTGTGTTCAACGCCCGACTCGAAGCCTTTCGGCGCTTGAAGGAAGCCCCGCATCCTTGGAGTTTCTTTGTTAAGGAAAGGGTCGGGGGGCCGAGTCTGGGAAACAGAAACAGCAAAAGCTTTTCGCCGTCCGCCCTACTGAAGATCTGAACCAACAACCTAAAACCATGGTAACAGGAAGCAACCTATCCAGAGCTTGATTCTCCGTTCTCTTTCTCCGTTCTCTTTTCAACCATTCTTTCTTTTAAAACACCGAAGCCGCCGTTTGCCCTGGGACTGGAAAGAATGGGGAAGGTGGCACCAGAGCCGTGCAGCCCACCCGCAGCTTGGCACAGCCCTCCTGGGCGCAGCCTCGGCGCCTCTGATTGAGGCCAGGAGGTCTATGCCTATGGCTCGGTCCTGGAGACGGCCAAGGTTGGGGCGGGGGCTCCCAGCTGTTTTGTGCGAGGGATCCTTCGCTGAATTTCGGTCGTTCTTTTGGGGCTACCAAAAGAGGACAGGCAAACAAAAGCACCGATTTGTTTGGTCCGAAAACGGACATTTTCAAAGGACCAAAGGCTGGGCTCGAGAAAAGCTGGGCCCCCGTCCACTCCGCTCGGCCATAGACCTGCTCTTGGGAAGCTCGCAAAAAACATGTTTGCATGAACTATCATCGTTGAAAAGAATCGGGAATCAACCCCTTGAAACTCCACATGTTGTCAAGCCTGCAGCTCCTTTTCACCTCGGCACGCTGTCCTGGCCGTTTTCAAAGATCCGTTTCGTCGTTAGCGGCATGGCATGTTGAGGCGTGGTGAAACGCGGCGACAAGTTTGGGGAGTCAAAACACGAAAATGGCTGGGGGTCAAAAACCAATGGTACCATTGTGGGGTAGGTGCACCACCCATTTGAGTGTATTTTGGTGGGATTGGGATGTTCATTGGGGGTACGGGATTTTGACCCATGGCCGAATCGGTGGGTCGGAAATGGAATGCGTCTTCAAACTGGGCACAAAACCGCCTTGTTTGGTGCAATTAAAAGGGAAGCCTTCCAGAGACACCAAAAGGAAAGCAAGCTGCTGTTGGGCTGGGGGAGGGATATGTTTTGGCCAATCCACTCAGGAAGGGAGGATTCTTTCATGTCAGTCAGCCCGGATTTTAGTAGAATCACACAGATTCATAGCCCCGTGTGACCTTGAAAAGTGGTGAGGATCCGCTCCCAAACGGGACGTCCCCGATATGTGTCCCCTCCGTTGACCTTTGTTGAGACTCGTTTCTGTGATGCTTGAGTATGTCATATTTTTTTCGGGTCCCGTTCTTGGTACACAATCTTGTAAGGACAAATCAACGCAGAGCTCTTGTTCCGCGGATTTTATGGCCTCCTTCGTTCATTTCATTTGTGCTTCTCTCCGAAGAAGGTTTCCTCCGGGTCCCGGAATCGGACACATCGATCCTGGGGGGGCGCTTTTAGGTACTGAGTAGCTTTGGATTGGTCGGAATTGTCTTTGAGAGCTGGGCAGCGAAGTCCGGCCATTTGCTAAGCCAAAGAACGTATGGCGGTGGTGTTTTTGGTCGGTGAGTTCTTGCTTGGACATTGGGCAAACTGGATTTCCGTTGGGTTCTATTACCAGGGAGTTCTATCTATTTTGCCAAGAGGACGCCTATGTTTGAAGAATGAGGGAATGCACCCTTATAAACCATCCCTTGTAGATTCCTTTCAGGGGAACCCCGAGGTTCATTGCCTCATTCTCTGCCTATCGCGCCAAGTTTTTCTCTGAAGGCGACGTCTTGCATGTCGACCTGAGGTGGGAGACACCATGGTCTTCTTCATCCACTGGCCGGGCTCACGGATCGATGGGTCAAACCCAATCGTTGGTGGTTGGGATGGGCGGGGATTGGAACCCCTTGTTTTGTGGGCCAAATGGGGAAGCCACCCCAACAAACCTCAAAACCACCAATCAAAACGACGATATCGAGAGAAGCTGGCTTTTGGGGCTTGGGGGAGATGGGTTTGGAAATTCGGGGATTGGTTTGGCCCCCACAACACATCTGAAGTGCATCTTGCCCACGGCTTACTTCCCGCCGAGGGAGTGACCAAAACCTAGCGCCCTCCCTTTGGGCGGATCCTTTTTCGAGGGTCCAACCCGGTTTTCGGGTGGGATTTTTGGGACACCAAGCCGCATCCATTTTTGGGTCCCCGTATTTCGAGACAAACCAACATGCCCGTTGACCTCTCTTTTCTGAACGGACCAAGAAGGATCAACCTTGTTTTACCCCTTGCCCGAAAAGCAGAGACATATGCTTCAAAATGTTATGCTTGTTTTCTGGTGAAGGCATTCTTCCATCAACATCCCAAGGTGGATGATGGAGTCCTTGTTTTGGTGTAATGCAACCGTTGTGACAGGATTGTTGATCAAATTCCGATCCCGTAAAATGATTACAATACACAGCAGCGAGAAGACATACAAAGATAGGATCGCTACATGTCAAGACTCGACCGTAGCGTGTTTCAAGATCAGACCCCCCCCCCCAAGCAATTTCATGGAAGCTCCCACGCTAAGGAAGACTTAGTCCCACGAAGCGCCTTGGAGCTTCCGTGGAAGCCCCTGGGTACACAGGGGCCCGAGTTATGCCCCTGGTGATGTTAAACATTCCACGGGTGCACTTTCCTTATCGGGTTGATGTTTTTTATGAAAACTCTGACCAAAACGGAATCCACTGAACCATCTCCTATCTCGTGGTCTTATTTCCAGTTTCTCATCAATCGGGGTCATGTTTTCAGGGAAGCAGGTTCTTCCGATACATCCGAGAGCACGAATTGAGCCCTCTGCAGGTCTATGGCTGCATTGGACACCAACAGCCGGGCTTCTGTCTCCCTCTAACACAGACCCAAAAAGGGTGCCCTTAAAAACTACACACAAAATTGCTTGTTTGTTTGCTTGCTTGCTTGTTTGTTGGTTGGTTGCTTGGTTTGTTTGTTTGTTTGTTCCGTTTGTTTCTTTCGTTGTTCGTTTGTTTCGTTTCTCTGTCTGGTTTCGAGAGGGCAAAAGGTCAGCAAGCACTGGGCTTTTGGTCAAAAGCTGATTTTCGTCAAGGACCGAGATACACATCTGAGCTCATTGGGGTAAAAGCAGGGGGGGGTAATGTTGACCCAGGATCTAAGTAGAACCCGTCCCACTATTAGGGGGGTGTTCCCTCCCAAAGTGATGAATCCCCACTAAAAGGGGACACCCTCCTATCAAAATCAACCAGGGGTTTATTAATCCGGGGCTAGCATTAACCCCAAAATGGGCTGCCCTGGCAATGAAAACATGGATGATTCGAATTCAACCTGCAGTCCATTTCCTGGAAGGTTAGTTTTGATCCATACCCATTTGAGGTGGACACTGTGGTAAGAAATCGCCAGATAAGTGGTTTCCCTGGTGCTATGGAGCACGGCAGGCATCAGGCATCCCATTTGGAACATTGCAGAGACCCAGTGATTCCGGTTATTTGTCTAGTAGGTAACCAGGGGCTCAGCTCCTTTCAACCCAACAGGGGCAAGGCCCCTCTAGCCTGTTTGATGCCTTGGTACTCATGGAATGTCCAACTAGGAATTTGGACCCCTCAGAACGGTTGGATGTCCTTCTTGGTTTGGATGTGTTTTTGGTTAGGGGACGCCCCCAACACGGTGGTTTTCCTTTGGTTTCTCTTTAAGACCACAAATTGAGGGGCAACCTCAAAACACGAAACCTCAAAGAAAGACACCTCCCTCAACGCAAGAAACCTGAAAGAAGGAAACCTCAAAACAAGACACCTGAACAAATCTCAATCATAGAAACCTCACAACTAGACACCTCACAACTAGGCACCTCAACAATAGACACTGCAAAAAACAGAAACCTCAGCAATAGAAACCTCAAAAACAGAAACCTTACAAATAGACACCTCAGCTATAGGCGCCTCAAAAACAGAAACCTCAAACAGAGACACCTCAACAATGAACTCCTCAAAACAAGACACCTCTAACATAGACACCTCCAAAACAAGACACCTCAAAAATAAACATCTCAAGAATAGAACCCTCAAACATAGAGACCTCAAAAAGGACACCTCCAAAATCGAAGCCTCAAAAACAGACGCTTCAAACTAGACACCTCAACTAGAAGCCTCAAAACAAGACACTTCGAAAATAGACACCTCAATGCTCAAAACAAGACACCTCAAAAATAGACACCTCAACAATAAAAGCCTCAAAAAAAACAGCTTAAACGTAGAACCTCAAAAAATGTAAATTTCAGAACAAGAAGCATCCCTTTGCCTTTTCAACCAAACAACAACCCACAAAAGGACGAGCGTCGCCCTGAGGTCCAATTGGGGTCAGCCACAGGCGTCCTATGAGCAGGGTCCTCGGATGTTTTCGAGGTGTTCGTGGCCCTGGCGTCGCTTTGGCTGATGTTTAACGAGGGGCTTGGATGAACTGGGTGTTTGAACATTTTGGTGTCCCCTTAAACCAACCAAAAGGGGGTGCATCCAAGACAATCACCTGACCGTTGGTACCTCCCAGCCGTCGCCTGGAAGGAAAAGCGCAGTACGTGGGGCGTTTCACTTAAAACCGGATGCTTTGTTTCCTTTTCCCATTTCACTCCCCGAGTTGAACTTGAGTGTTTCACTTGTTTTGGTGGTTTGGGGACCATTTTGGAAAAAAGAACGAGTGCTTTTTCTTTTGCCCATCCACTATTTTTTGGTTTTACCTTCAGCTGCCAACCGGTTGTTTTAAACAAAGACACCCAGGTGTGCCAAGAAGCTCTTGTTCTGGTTTGCGGTGGACTCCTTTGATCCCGTATTTCCGGTCTTGCTGGCGTCGCTGGTTTGATGGCCGATGTGGAACGAGGGGCTCCGTTTGGACTTTTTGGTTTCCCAAATGAGAGACTGAACATGGGTTGCGAGTTTCAAGCGAGTCTCCTGGTGGATTGGTGGATGGCTGAACGGGGAAATGGGGATCCCGTTCGTTGGAAGTTGGTCTTGGAGGGGCGCTAGGCGCCAGGCAGTGACATTACATCTCGCCCTTGACTCAAATGACGAAGAACAGATTTGTTTGATTCCTTGGAGCTTGGCCCCACCGCAAATCCATTTCATTCAACCCTGTGGTTTTGTTGCCTTGGTTTGTGCTGGTTCTCAGCAGGGAATGAGGGAATGAACCCGAACAAAGGCATCTTGTATGGTTTCCTTTAGAGGGCGGGACGTCCTGGGGGCTTCGTTTTTTCCGGATTCCTGGGGGCTGCGTTTGTTTCCTCTGACTGGACTCGCTCCTTGTTTAATTCTTCTTGGTTTTAGTTGGAATTTAAGTTGAGCTTGATACATATATTAAGTAGAATTCATAAGATATAGCTTATAAGAGTTCCCGACATTGTTAAATACACAGAGTTTAAATGTGTACGGATTTGCAAAGACAATTCTATTGGAAAGGACATTTTGTGTAGCATCTAAATTTTGACAGAATGATCATTAGTTAGATTCTAATTATTCTTTTCACCATGTTTGGCTTTTGTTCTGATTAAATGCCATTCAATGTGAGATAGACATCCGGTAGGACTTGGACGATACATATATTACGTAGCCTTCATACGGAAAGACATTAGCGTTCCCGGACATGTTGAATACATGCTCCTGTGTAACATGTATGTTTTGAAGTATAATAACATTCAATTCTATTGATTGGAGTCTGTCCTTAGACATTTCAATTTGATTTCAGTCAGAAATTGAATAGACTTTGATAAAGCTGTTATTAAGTCATAAGGACACATAGTGTTGTTTTGTTTACCTGCCCCAGCACTATCATGGTCAGAAAACACCGTAAAACAGTGTTTTGTAGCGTTTTTTGTACTCAATTCACATCTCCACCAACAGCCGCTCTTTAAAATTCAGTTTGATTTTGAGTAGGATTTAATTGTGACTCAATAAGACAATACACGATCAGACTCCTACTGCGAGTTGCATCTTACATTTAGACTCTAGACGGAGATCCTTTCCCAATAGAACTTTATAATTGAATTCGAGTTTAGACATAATTTGACAAGGAATGAATCCAATCACAACTTCTTTATTAAACATAATTTGAACTAGAATGATTCTATTTACATGATAGTTCTAACCAACCCCAGGTCTCGAACCAGCAGATGAAGATGCCGGGCTTGTTTCTTTTGTTCTTCTTAGTTTTTTGGTTGTTTTTTGATAAACCAGGACTCTGACAAAGGCAGCCCCCATGGCGTCTCCTTCTGTTTCTTTGACGGAATCATTCGGTTCATTCCCAACCCCTGGATCACTCCCTACTGAGCAGCAGCCAGCATAGGTGTCCTTTATGGTTGTTTTGCTTAAAAGAAATAGAAGGCGATTCCTGGTTTACCTGGTGGTTCCATCATCTACCAGGGCCATCTATTCTCCAAAAAGGACACCTATGCCAGCCAGGTTTTTTTTTCCCCCCTTTCTCGCTCGGCGCATGTAGCGCCTGCGACTGGCCAAGGCTGCTGCGGATCCACTCGATGACCGGCATGGCCTTGAAAGGCGCGGGGGTAGTTTTGGGACACGGGATGTCCTTCCACACAGCCTGGCTGGGGAGGGTGTGTGTGAATGTGTGTTTTGGGGGAACGGGTGTGTGGAAGGCTCCATTTGAGGGGTTCACAAAAGTCGCAAGGTGTGGCTTCAACTTGCTGGTCCCCGAGAAAGCGGAATAAGAAACCCTCATTGTACCATGTGAGCGAAGACCGATGCCGCTTTTGGGGCCATCTTGGTAGGTCGGTCCCTGCGCGGTCTTCTGGTTACAACAAGCATATTGTTGTCCCCTGTTTAGCTCGCTCCCACTTGACGGTTTTTGACCCGAGTCAGGTCTGGGCAAAGCGGCGTGGGCAGTTTGGATGTGTTTGGTTGGTGGTTTTGCATCAAGAACCCGAGGTCCAAGCCGCCCATTGAAACAGCAACAAGAACTGTGGTGCCATGACCGATTAACGGCTGGAAAGTGGCAAATTCAAGCTTTTTCTCACTCGTTCCCGCTCTATTTTTATTTTTTTGTCTCTCTCTCTCTGTCTCTCTCTCTCTCTCTCTCTGTCCCTGCCTGCCTGCCTGCCTGCCCCCTCCCTTCCCCGACAAATCGCAAGAGCTGTCAACGAGCCGCGCACGAGTCGCGCCGGGCCGCGGCCCGCGGGGCGCGGACCGCGAGTGTCGGAAGGCACTTTCAAGATGGCGGACGAGAAGACCGGCGGCGAGAAGGCGATCGTTTCACAGGGCTCCGTTTCACAGATGGCCATTTTGCCCAACCATTTGATGGCCATGTGGCTTTTTCAACACCAAAAAGGGGTAAGCCACCATTTACAAGTTGCAATGCTTTTAGGTGTATAATGGTAAGGATCCCTGTTTCAAATGAGTTTTGGCGATCTTCCAAGATCATTTGCTTCTCGTTCCAGGATCCTTCATTGGCCTTCCCAAGAGCGACGCCATGGCCGAAGAGGGAAATACGGTGGACATCCCTTAGCGAATGGCAAGGCTCTCCCTTTAGGAATGTTCCATGCATTTCCTATGGCATACTCTCCCAGTGGGCCAGGCGTTGCTGCAAAGCAGAACTTGTTTCTGATCCCTGCCC